CCAAAGATTGCAGCGCCACTGCACTAGCGAAAATTTAAATTTGACGGCTGAAATAATTTCGGATAAACGACGCTTACTGTAATTATTTAATTTGACAAAAGTACTACTCTGTCAACACAAAAAGTTTGATTATTACACTAACGCACGCTTCATCAATTGTTTTAGATAAAGCGCTTTATTTCTAAACAAAAGTCTTTAAATGCAATTAGTCACGTACAAATAAAATAATATTTTTCTAAATTTAGATAAGAAATTTGTATTTATTTAATTTAGGATTATAGGAATTTAATCTGAATTTTAAAGAAATTCGGTTATTTATTATTGTAGTTTTTAAAAATTGTTTCTTGTAGAACGTTACGGTATTACCGGAAACGTAACTAATGCAAAGTTTGTCGATGTGTAGTCCGGGGTGATCTTCCGAGGCGAAGATAAATCACGTGATAGAAAATATGGCGTCATTGATATATCACGTGATCTCAGTAAAGACAAGGAAATTCTTACTCGACAACAATAAGTTAAAATATAACAATTGCATTTAGGCCTTGGTATAATTAAATTAACTGAAAACTAATGATGTGATGTAGAGAATAATGATGAAAATTTCTTATTATCTACCTCACATTAGTAGATTTTTTAGTTAACTTAAGAATAAGTTATCTAAAAACACGTCAGAGATGCCAGGCGAGTGAGTAGTTACATGACGAATGGAATACGGTAAAATGTCACGTGACGCTTAGTACGCGTCTGTCTTTCATTGTACCGATCCGCGACAAAAGAAAGCTTAAGCAATGGCGTATTCGAACGACGCACACTCGATAAGTATTTTTATCATTCGTTGTTTATAGCATATTTTATATAAATCATCCCTAAAAGGATATACGTGTTTTGAAAATGTTCGAGTCAAATTATTCTAGAATCGATTAATTTTTATGGTAGAAAACCTTTCGGCAAATACTACATAAAGACTTCTGTTTGGAAATATAATGTTTTATTACAAAAATAGATGCAACAGGTGTTAAAGTAGCGATTCGCATACTGTTTTGTGCATTCCCATCAGGTTTTTTTTTTGGCTGCGAATTGAACAAATTGTAGACCCATAAAATCCCACTGTCATTTTTTTGTCTCGAAAACAGAATTAGATGGAATACTATACTAAATTAACTATATACGACGTTATTTTAATTCAAAAAATTTCTGCTGAAAGATTTTAGATACATCACCAGCACGACTTTATTGTTAGCGGAAAAGTATGATGTACAGGGGCAAGACAATATTAATTTGAAATAGGGAGGATGTATTTTAAATTAAATAAATTAAAAGTAAAATGCAACTAAGCAATGGCAAATGAAACAGTGCCTAGTCCGAAAGTAGTTTATGTTTTTAGAATCTTTTTTATTTAAAATATGGCGTCATTGATATATCACGTGATCTCAGTAAAGACAAGGAAATTCTTACTCGACAACAATAAGTTAAAATATAACAATTGCATTTAGGCCTTGGTATAATTAAATTAACTGAAAACTAATGATGTGATGTAGAGAATAATGATGAAAATTTCTTATTATCTACCTCACATTAGTAGATTTTTTAGTTAACTTAAGAATAAGTTATCTAAAAACACGTCAGAGATGCCAGGCGAGTGAGTAGTTACATGACGAATGGAATACGGTAAAATGTCACGTGACGCTTAGTACGCGTCTGTCTTTCATTGTACCGATCCGCGACAAAAGAAAGCTTAAGCAATGGCGTATTCGAACGACGCACACTCGATAAGTATTTTTATCATTCGTTGTTTATAGCATATTTTATATAAATCATCCCTAAAAGGATATACGTGTTTTGAAAATGTTCGAGTCAAATTATTCTAGAATCGATTAATTTTTATGGTAGAAAACCTTTCGGCAAATACTACATAAAGACTTCTGTTTGGAAATATAATGTTTTATTACAAAAATAGATGCAACAGGTGTTAAAGTAGCGATTCGCATACTGTTTTGTGCATTCCCATCAGGTTTTTTTTTTGGCTGCGAATTGAACAAATTGTAGACCCATAAAATCCCACTGTCATTTTTTTTGTCTCGAAAACAGAATTAGATGGAATACTATACTAAATTAACTATATACGACGTTATTATAATTCAAAAAATTTCTCCTGAAAGATTTTAGATACATCACCAGCACGACTTTATTGTTAGCGGAAAAGTATGATGTACAGGGACAAGACAATATTAATTTGAAATAGGGAGGATGTATTTTAAATTAAATAAATTAAAAGTAAAATGCAACTAAGCAATGGCAAATGAAACAGTGCCTAGTCCGAAAGTAGTTTATGTTTTTAGAATCTTTTTTATTTAGGTGACCACTGAACAATTTGTTATGTCTATTATGCATGTGTCGATTATAAATAAAATTAAGAGAGAAAGAGGTGGAGTATTGTTTAAAAATAAATACAAAATTTTTTAAAAAAAAAGATTTGTTAGGGACGCCCAGTTTGTGAAACCCCAAGCAACAGACTTTTTACCTTATAAAATAACGCGCCACTGTAATTACCAATGCAGCAGAAAACACTTGAATGCTCCGCATTTGCAACAAACAACTGACAATAACATACCCATATTGCACTATAACTGATTCTATCTGTCGCGCATACCAAGTGGTAAGTAGAAAATTTCATTTGTGTCAGTCTGTCAGGGATCACTGAATCCGTCGGAATATCGAGAATCTACTGTATTTTATTATTTTCTATAGTAATACGGTTTTTATTCTAAACAGGATTTTTCTACAAAATGTCTGAAAGCGAAACCAGTGGTTGCGAAGAGTATTTCGATTTGATGACAAGTGACTCTGAAATTGAGTCTGATGTACGTAGTCTTAGAGAAAACGACTATGAACCTGAGGTTGATATAGCTTTACTAACTCTCTCCCACCCGGCTGCCGCTTCTGACAATGATTTCGAAATGGAGAATTTAGATCGGATGACAGGTGACTCTGAATATGAATCCGATCTAAGTATTTTTGGAGATGAATACTATGAATCTGAAGATGACTTGGATTCTGCAAGTCAATACTCCCTCTCCAGTTCTGATGATGAAGACTATGAACCTGAACATGATGTAGTCACTCCTTCCACCTCGGCTGCACATTATGACAGTGATGATGAAATGGAAGATCGGGACTACCGGGAAGTTTTTTCACCAGAAGAACCTCAACCTTTTCCTTTTTCTTTTCGTGAGGTACCTGGCCCAAAACATATGCCGCCTCCCGATTCTCCTCCGATCGTTTATTTCTATCTGTTTTTCACCAGTACTTTGCTGTCTCTTATGGTGGAGGAAACCAATCGATATGCGCAGCAAGTGTTAAATGGCATGGGGAATAACGTACCGTCTTATTTGAAGAACTGGACCAAAGTCTCTGTTCCAGAGATGAAAGGGTTTTTGGCGTGTATTTTAAATGTAGGTCGCAAAGAATCATCAGATCCAGCTAGATACTGGTGCACTTCTCCCATCCAATCTGATTCGTGGTTTCGGGAAATGTTATCTAAACAGCGTTTTTGTCAATTGGTAAGTTTTTTCCATGTCGTCGATGAGAGTAAGTTGCCTGGGCGTGGAGAATCTGGTTATGATCCGTGTGCCAAATTCCAGCCTCTTTTGAATCATTTGAACAGAGTCTCTCAACACCATTACACTCCTCATCAGGAAATATCCATTGACGAAATCTATCTGGGTTTCAAATTCTGGATGATGATCGACTCAGTATCTAGCTACTGCTTGGGATTTTTCCATTTTGAACGGGCCGAGTCTCAGCAGGAGGATCACAGCATCTCAGAATTAGGTTTAGGCTGTACTGTTGTGCAAAAACTGTTCGAGATTGGTATTTACCTGAACAAAGGGTACCATTTCTTTATCGACAGATGTTTCATGTCGGTTCCCCTTGTTCAACGTCTGTATTCTCTACAGACTTATGTCACTGGAACTGTTCGGGGGAACCAGAAAATGCTACCCAAACAGTTCAAGAAGAACTTTGCAACCGGAGAAACATTATATTTCCGTTCTGGTCCCGTGTTAGCCTGCGGCATTAAAGAGAAGCAGTCACAAAAGAACCCTATCTTTATATTATCCAGCCACGCATGGGCACGAGATGTAGAAGTAATTAGAAATGGAAAGGCTAAAATAAAGCCAGAAATAATTCAAAATTATAACAAATATATGAGCGGGGTCGATATATCCGATATGGTGTTATATGTATGTTTTGATAAAAGTAGGTCAACGAAGTATTGGAAGAATTTAGCTTTCAACGTCATAGCGAGGATGGCGTTGAATAGCTACATGCTTTACAAAGAGAATTTTGCGGGACGAGGGAGAGTGAAATCTCGAGACGCGTATCACGTGGCCGTAATCGAGAGCTTGGCGGAGGAGTGGATGGCCACCAAGTTGACTACAAACAACTCTCACGAACCAGAGGCTGGAGAAACTTCCGCGAAGAAGGAAAGCCCGTAGCTGTGTGTGCATCAGTAGTAGCTTAAGGAGGCGGTCACGAACTGTTTGCACAAATTGTAAGGATAAGCTACATGAAAAACGTTTCTGGAAGCGTAAATGCTAACAACAAAGGGATCTGCACAGTTTAATATAATTCTGTATTAAAGAGCTATAAATGCATAAATTTTACAACAAATTGTACAAAACGATATTTGTTTACGTACAGATTTGGCCCTTGACGATTTGATTTTGTATTTTTTATGTATTTTGAAATATAATTCTATAGTGATATTGATTGACATACATTTGACGTCATCACAGTCGGCAAACAGAGATGAATGTAAAAAAAATTGGATGCAAGCGGAAATGTACAAAACAATGTTTTCACTGTTTCTAGGATAGTGCCAAAATTTTACGGATTTTATTTTATTTCGGAAATTTTGTTATATTAATGTGTAAATTTTAAAGTTATTAATTAATGTAAGTTATCACTTGTTAAAGTAACTTTATAATAGCAAGAATTGAAAAATACTATACTAATGACTACCTGTAGTAGTAATTTTCTCATATTTTTCTACGTATATAATAAAAATTAATTTTATTTTTTGAATTTTTAAAATATGTGTGGAATCATATTTTGTTCTGAGTTTTCACATACCAGTTTGTAACTCGCGCTGATATGATAAAAGTTGTACTGTACACGGATGGAAGAATTCTTAATCTAAAACTAATGTTTATAATGTAAAAATATTTTAAATTTCTACACAAAAATCTGTAAAATCTTGCTAAATGCTTACCGAAAAAGGCAAAGTTTATTTAGAAATTCGTAGGTAGTTAAGTTCATCCAATTTATACCTTTATAATTTTCGTACCTTTTTGAAAATTTCTCAAATTTTAAGCGAGTTCGTGTATTAGGGAGATAAATGCCATTAAAGTTGAGTGGATAAAGGACGAGTGAGGTGTATTATCGAATTTCAAGTGGAGGCGAACTTAATTTTGTTAATTGTCATTAGCATTTATAATTTATAAAACTAATTTTTTCGAAAAATTAATGTTTTTAAAATAAAAGTGTAAATATAAATGAAAATGTATAAATGTATATGAATATAAATGTTATGATGACGTTCAGACGGTGTTTAGAAATGCCGAATATTAATAGTGAGACAGTCATTTGAATTATTGGAACACTTCATTCCACATTTATAGACTACTAATTTTCTCATAAATAATATGCTTCTGATTCTTATTGCAATATATAATTTTATATTCGTCTATTACTCAGTTTTATATAAAGTTTATATTGATATTTCTACATACAAATGAGTGGAAAAATCCAATATGATAGCTTATTTCAGTTTAATTGGATATGGTACACTTATGAAACACTTATATAATATTGTATATTAAGTCCATAATTTCTTAAAAGCATAATTACATTCAGCCTTATATATTGCAATAAATTGTCATTTAGTTAAAACTAATAGTTATATTTATCAGTAAATATACCTATATACAGTATATGAAAAGGGATTATCAGTATATTCACAGCATTATTTCTGAAAAAGTATTTGAATTTAATTATTTTCTGTTTAATATAAAAGAAATTTGCATAAAAAGCCTTATAACAAATTTACGCCTACGGTTTCAAAGGAACATAATTCTCTATTGTGCAAAATAATTTATAGATCAAATTAAGGCATTTATGGCTTCGTTGGATGATGTGATAGTGTAGCCGCATAAATGAAAAGAACGAAATTTAAATTTGATTAGCAACTTAATGAACAACTAGTCACATTCAATCTGGCACTTTAAATTAGTTAAAATTCGGTAAAATGTTTAAATTTACAAAGGAGTTACGTGACTTTCTCGACGAAAAACGGTAAGAGGAAGAGAGCTAAAGGTTTAGATCACGGATTCGAACGCAACTTCTGATTAAATACAAACAACTCTGTACAAATAATAGGATCCACTTCTTAGGCATTATCAAAAAACAGGTTATAGTCGAAGATATGAGGTGCTGGAGTCATAAGACATCGGATCACTCCATTTTAGTTATTTTCTTACTTGTAACAATTATGTTAAGGTATTATTATTCTTCACGTGCTTATGAAACAAGACATTAAGAATCGTAACATCATTTCCTGTTTAGTAATAAAAAAATTCTGTAGATGAAACTCTTCAGTGGCGTAGCGAACATAACTGGCGCCTGAGTACACACAATTTATTGGCGCCCCCTTCCCTCCAGAAACACTTATAGTTTGTCTTGGAGACCATTTGGGCCCCCCTCTTTGGGTGACGCCCGGTGCATGATATACTCCTTTCGCTACGCTACTGAAATTCTAATGTCGTTATGTTAATTTTCAGATCTGATTGTATTGTTATATATGAAATGTACCAAACACCAGTGCACGAGGAATTTGTCCATGGGATAAACGATTAAAAAAATTTTGCAACGAGTTTCTTAACACACTCGACAATATTCGAAATTTGACGCAATCTGTTATGATATTTTATTAAACGTTTTATATTTTTATATATTACTAGCTGCAAGGACCCGCTTCGCTGGGCAAAAAGTAACGATAGTGAAGATTAAGATAATTACATTATAGCCAATCTTATCCGTTTTCACAGAATGCAAGAATTAGGTCCCCCGTTTCCAGACTAATTAGAGACCTGGTCCAGATTCTATTTCTGAATGTCTCCTGTTCACGTCAAGTCAAACGAACTATTTTCAACGTTTCTGAAACGAATATAATCGAACCAATATTAGAATTTTCATGTTCGAATTTGTTCGAACAAATTGGAACAAAACATTCGAAATAGAAAGCCACTTTCAACCACTTTCAGCCCCATATCTCCCGCACCCTTATAGCTATCCAGACGCAACCTCCCTGGTGCACGAATGGAGACTTGGGGCTACTACCACATACAAACACCATTCACGTGCGATGTGTAGTTTTGGCGAAAAAGTGAAATATAGGGACATACATGTCCATTTTTATATATA